TCACAAATGCTCAACATGTTCTTCTTCCGATTTGGAATATATCAAGATATTGTCAATGAATACTACCACAAATCGATACAAATAAGTAGGAAGGATACAATTCATATACTCCATAAATACTCCCAACGTGTTAGTAACACCGAAAAGTATCACTGAATACTCATAATATCCATACCGAGTTCTGAAAGTTGTCTTATGAATATCATCATTCTTGACTCCGATCTGGTGATAACCCAATCTCAAGTCAATCTTACTAAACATGCATGAACCCACCAATTGATCCATCAATTCATCTATTCTCGGAAGTGGATACTTGTTTTTTATTGTCACTTTATTCAGCTATCGGTAATCAACACAAAGCCTCATACTACCATCTTTATTTTTCACCAGTAATACTGGAGCTCCCCAAGGCAATACGCTTGGTCTCACAAACTTCTTTTCAAGTAAGTATTTTAACCGCTTCTTTAACTCTACTAATTCAGACACTGACATCTTGTACGACGCCATAGAAATAGGTTATGGTACTAGGAATAAGATCGACAGCGAAATCCACTTTTCTTTCTGGAGGCACGTCGGGAATATCATCTAGGAAAACTTCGGGAAAATCACATACTACTTGTAACTCATCGATCGCATCCTGATTCTCAATAGATAGAGACGCCATCAATGAAAACACCAGAGCTTCACCTTGCATCAACTCAGTCAACTGCCTAGCAGACAAGAATTCAATTTCCACCTCCTTGTCGGGAGCATAAAACCAAACATATTTTTTGTAGCAATTAACATAAACATAATTATATTCCAACGAGTTCATACCCAAAATCACATCCAGACCACTCAGCGATGCAAACTAGATCCACAACAAAATCTTTGTCATAGATTGACAAATGACACTTCAAGCACACTAGAGAAGTAGTCACTGATCCTTTAGCTGGAGTATCGATAACAATCTCTCCATTCATAGAGGATAAACAAGACCCAACCTTTTCACACAAGTAGCAACAATCAAACAATGCGTAACACCAATATCAATAATAGTAATTAAAGGAGTACTATTAATGAAACATATACCTTTGATCAAGCGGTCTCCACTAGATGTGGGAGTCCCAGCTAAAGCAAATACTTTCCCACCGGATCGAGCTTGATTTGGTTTCTGACACTGAGCACCAATATGTCCTTCTTCACCGCAGTTGAAATAGATTACTTCTTTGTATCTACAGTCAGTCACCTCATGCCCAATCTTGCCACAACGAGAACACCTCTTCAATTCAACAGTACATTCATTACCCTAATGACCAGGTTTTCTACATCACTAACATACAATACCAGTAGGAGCACCTCTCCCACTTGGCCTCTTACCATCATCAGCTTTCTATTTTCTTGTCAGTCAGAGCATTTTAAGGCTTCCCACGATTCAGTTGTTGCTTTTCTCTCCTATCACTCATGATCTTATAGTCATCCTTACTGTCCTCTTCATAGATTTTGCAACTATTCACTAAATTTGGAAACTTACGGGTCCGTTGATACCCAATTGCCTTCTAGATCTCTGAACGCAAGCCATTTTCAAACTTTATGCACTTAGAAAATTCAGTAGTTGCCTCACTGTAATGAGGGTAGAACTTTATCAGCTCTATGAACTTAGCAGCATAGTCAGTTACCGATAAATCTCCCTATTCCAAATATATAGAAATTCGATTTCCTTCTTCCCGCGAACATCTTCTGGAAAGTACTTTCTCAGAAGTTCTCTGCTGAACACGGCCCACATAATCTCTTCTTCTTCACCATTCATCCTTTGACGAATACTCACCCACCAGTCATCAGCCTCTCTTGCCAGTTGATACATACTGAAACGTACTTTATGTGCATCCGTGGAGTCCATAACCCAAAAGATCCTCTTGATCTCCTTGAGCCAACTCCGCGCTTCATCGGGATCATGCTTATCCCTGAACGTAGATGGATGGTTCCTCAGGAATGTTTCCAAGATGCAGGATCCATCATTCCACCAACATTAGGCCAATGTTGCACAACCTGAGCCAAAGCCTGCAAAACAGTATCAAGTGCAATATCGTTCCTTTCAGCCATTACTCTGCTTCACATCATAACATCAAACAATAATTGGACGAAACACATCAACAATATTCAACTGTCACACTATACTATTGACTCAATAACCAGGGAGGACGGACCGACCAGACTCTGATACCACTAATGTAACACCATATTTCCCCGTCAGTAATTTAACAAAAAATCAGAGTAAATTAATTCATAAAATAAAACATCAAAAATAGGATGTCACAATGTCATACATACACACATTCTAATATAATAAGACACGTAACACATAATCACACGTTCACCAAGTTTGAACTTCATTTCATTTATTCGCAGCGGAAAACATCAACAACAGTTATTCTTAACTCCTTAACATGAGTTATAATTATCATAATTCAAACTTCAACATGCATCATCAAATAAATCCAACAAAGTGGAGTTCTACAATAGTTTACTCTCATCATAATAAAACAAACGCAAAACCCTCAAGTGTTATGTATCATAGCTGACACCGACCTACGCAAAATGAGGTACTTCTCAAAGAACCTCCACCTCGAGCTAATTTGGATCATCTGCACGTTACCCACGTAGAAGCAACATTCAAAAAAAAGGGGTGAGATATCATAATAATATAAAAGAAAACATAATAATAAATAAATAGAAATTTAAGTACGCATAGTTATACTTCTTTACCTCACGCCTTTACTTCATCCTTCACACTACATAGTACATCAACATATAAGCAATACAATACATGATACTCATTATAATATAAATCATACTCTTTCAACATCAAACATCAAGTTATCAATCATAATATAACACAATGAGACCAACGCTGACTAAATGCATGCGGTACCAATAGGGTAGAACCCTTATCGTAATAATGCCAACTTAGGGCAACAACATCATAACATCAATACATGCCATCTTTCGCCCATACAGGCCATCTTTCGCCAACACAGACCATCTTTCGCCAATACATGCCATCTTTCACCAATACAGGTCATTTCTCCATGAATGCATGTGACACCAACATGCAACAACTTAATTTACATTGATATTACTACTCATCAATGCCACGCCAATACATGTCATCATCATCATCATCATCATCATCATGCAATACATCATGCAAAACAATCGAACCATTCATACATCATATTACTCAATCGCAACATAATTCACAGTAAACTGCTTAGGAATATACACATATAAGTATCAATGTTGGTAAAATAATTATCTACTACATTCCACTTTATTTTAATAGGATAGAAAATAATTTTAGCTTTTCAATGGTCCAAACGGCGCATCAAACGGACATCCAAGACGAAAGTTACTGCCAGGACGGTAACCAGTTACACCCCTCTGATTTAGAACTACAACACTATTATCCAGTTGGGTAACTGATTCCCACATATGTCGTATCTGGCTACATGTTCATATTTTTGCCCACTTTGTCCAAAATTGCACAGGGTAACCGGTTACCCTCTATGCCGTACCCTGTTACACCTGCTGTAAAGTTCAAAAATATGCAATTGTGCAGGTTACGAAAATCCATGTTCTAAAACCCCAATCTCAAACATTTCAATCAAAACAGTATCTTCTAATTACACTAATTATTCACCAACATTACCTATCAATTACATTCAATATTCATCATCAAATTTCAACAATAACACATAAAATACATCCAATAATTCATCAATGGGAAAAATCCCAATCAAGAAAAAATAGAGAGAATCATGAATACAAACTCATGGGACCTAAACCCTACCATACCCCATCATTATGCAACCCGCTGTAGTGTTAGAATCTCACCCTTACATTGAATTTTAGTCGATTCTTGACTCTTACGGTGAACCTTCTTGCCCTAGCCTTTTCCTCTTCTTCTCTCTTCTATGATCTTCTATGTTCTTTTCCTACGTTGTTTTTTCCTCTTCTCTGTTCTCACTTTATTTTATTCTAAGGACCCCTAAATCATAATACCAACCTTGCTCTTCCCAGTTAAATAAAATAATTATTTAAATAACCATAAAATAATAATTCTTTTATTCTGCTAATAATTTTATTCTATTATTATACTATGGTATTAAATTTAATATTTTAATCTAAATAATGCTAATAATTAGTTATCTCTCTACACCTCGTGTTTCTACGCTTTTGGTCATACACCCCATTATCTCAACTCCAATAATTTACAAGGCCTCTAATTCCCAACAAAAGCATCACAAATACAACACATCATCTAATTAATTTAAATAAAATAGTTCAACGAAATCGGAGTGTTACAACCGCCATTTCCATTGCCTGCACTAGGGGTGGACAATCGGTCGGTTTGAGTCGAAATCAGACCAAAAACATAAATCTGATGCAAACCACAGTTTCATTATTAAGGTGTGATTTTGACCGATTAAATTTTGATTTTTAGCAAGATCGATTTAGTCGATTTAACATATACATCAAATAAATTTGATCGATTAATATTATTTTAAAATAAATTTATAAAAATTACTCATCTTTTATAAAATTTACAAATATTTATATTTTAATTTTTTTATTAAAACTATCAAAATTTTAGAATCTTAAAAAATTATTTTTTTATTATTGAAAAAACGTTATTATGACATTATAAAATTTCAAATATCATTTAATATTAATTTGTCGTTATCATATTTTAAATAATAAATTAAATAATATTTAAAATTTTATATTATATATGTTGTATTTTTATGAGTATACAATGTTACCGTTAAAGTAAAAAAAATGATAATAATTTGATAATTTTTGAAATTATATTTTTGTAATACTTCGACCCTAAAATAATAAAAAATATATAAAATAAATATTAATTAAATTCAATTGGGTTTGATTTTCAACGCTGATCGAATCAACTCTATAATATTTATCTATAACGTTCTTGGGTTGTTCTGTTCTTGTCTTCAATTATGTTGCTACCCATGTTTGTGTTTGCCACGCCTATGTTGAAGTTCATAGGACAACCTGTTGAGGTTGCGGAGCAAGCGGGGTTGGTTGCGATTTGGTTGATTCTGTTTCATTTGAGTTTTCCATTTCAATTCACTTTACAAAGGTTCTTGCAGTGTCAATTGAAAACTGCGATTCTAGCTTGGGTTTTAGAACGAGTTATATTAGTGTTTGACGCAAGAACGAGTTATATGAAGCCAAATCTTCATGTTACTATAAACTGTGATGCAGTAGAGTTTGATTATGTCGATGCAATAGCAGAAAATTTGGTAGTTAGCATTGACATAATCAGAAGAATCACAAACATGATCAATATAAAGTGAGTGATCTAAAGCAATTATTATATCAACTTGATTTGGTTCTCAGCTTACTTGCTATTCTGTGATTGAAGTGGTAATGTTTCCTATACACTCAGATTCCAACTCATCCTTTTCTTTTTCACTTGGCATCACATGAATAAACATAATTCTGCATTTTTCTAATATAAAATTTAAGGATAATTTAGTTCTGCATGGTCTGGTCTACTTTGAGGATAATTTACTGATATTTGTTTATGGCAAATTTTGAATAATAATAGATGAGCATTATTTTAATGTGATTTATATCATTTAATTTATTTATATTTTTTCAGATGGATGAAGAGAAGCACTTAATCCAAAATTGATGAAGAGTCATTGATCAATTATTGATGAATTCTTATTTTTAATGTCAATTTACTTGATTTATTATTTAATTTGTATTTGATAGTTTTATTTTAATTTACTTTATTAGCTTCCATTAAAATTTAAGTAATCAATAATGATCACAATTATAGCTAACGGTAGCTGACTAAAACTTTACACTTATAGTCACTTAAAGTTTAATTTTATTGTGTGATTTAGATCTGATTAAAATTTTCAATAGCTGAAGTGATTTAATATAAATTTTGTTGCAAATAGTTCTGATCTGAATTGGGCTTACACTTGTCCTTCGAATGGGAAGCTCAAAAATAGCTCAAATTAGGGATCGTTGGGCAACTCCCCACCCGATCGTTAGAGGATATATATATATAATAATTAGTAGAAAATGTGTGCGTTTGTACGGATAAATTCATTCATATTATTTAATCATTCGATAAAAATATAAGATTAATTTGTAAGGCACAATTATATCCAAAGCACTTTGAGAGTATTATGAATGATTTTTACCTAGATCTAATTGATTGTGTCAATGTTAGAAGTAAACTCTAAAATTTGTGTCTATACAATATATTGTTGTTAATAGAGCTTATCATATATAATTTGTCAAGACTCCATTCATTAGTTTAACCTCTTAATGTATGTATATTTAGGAAAGGGAAATTAAGGATGTGATGAAGTGCTAATAATGTACTATTTTTTAACTATATTCTTCAATTGACTCTTGTTCTGGACTGGGCCGGGCTGGCCCAATAGCAACAATAAAGGCCCAATCTAAATGGACTTGTTAGGGGTCGCGCCGAGCTAAGGATCATAGCTATGTCCGACATACGTCACTGGGCGACACCCTGTCCTCGTGTTGTCCAGCTCGACCTCAGCTCGAGCGCTCCTTCGACAGCGGACACGGTCCACTGCATTCTCAACGGGACTCCGAAAAGACCGCGTCCCTGTCCACCCACACTTCACGCAGAACATCCAGGAAGGGGACCACGTGCGGGTCCCCACTACGCACGTAGAACCTGGCAGTTCCTCCATTGGGCCAAATCTGTCCGGCCCAATGAAGGAACCTTGGCCCAGCGCTGGGGGCTATAAATACCCTTTGTTTCCAGAGGGTCAGGTATTCATTCTATCACATATACTCTCACTTTGCCTGCTCGTATTCTTACTCACTTCAGCATCGGAGTGCCTTGCAGGTACCCCCCCCCCCCCCCCCCCACCTCGTTCAAAACTTCAGCTCGGAGTCAGCCGTGACGGTCCAAGTCTGATCAGGTTAGATCAGTGGCGCCGTCTGTGGGAAACTAGCTTCCCCGTCTTGCAAACTCAAAGACCAAAGCTCAAATTCAACTACCTGTCATGGCTGATCAAGCTCGCGATGAGCAGAACATCCGTGTCGTCGACACTAATAACGACACCACGGACAAGAACGGACACCTTGATAACACCGGCAACCCCGGCCACAACACCATTCCTGCGACAACCGCCCCTGGAACTTCCTCCTATAGGGACGGAGCTACTGCATCATCATCCTCGGTCCCTCCACCACTTGAAGACGACCCGGAGGCCCTCGCACACTACAGAGCTGCCCGGTTCCAGGAAGTCCCCGTCCCCGCCGGGGCGGATGCCACAACTCAAGCGTTGTTCGCAGCAATTAATCAAACGAACTATCTCATCTTCGCCCAAGGAGAGAGACTAAAGGCGCTTGAAGACGAGCGAAGACCCCCGAGGAGGCATCGGAGACCCCATACTCCCCCTCCTCGAGTGACTGAAGCTCGACACCCATCTCCCCCGCGGAGACATTACAGGGAGACCTCTCGAAGCCAATCTCCCCGGCCAAAACAGAAACGGCCTCATCTGGAGAGGCAGCCCATCATTCAGGCCGGAGAACCTAGTCGTGACCCAGCGAGACTAGAAAGAAGACACTCCGGAGACAGGCGCGTGAAATTCAACCCCCGAGCATCCCGCTCGAGAGAGACTCACCACGACCTGGACTGTCGTGCCAGACAATATTACAGGTCCTCATCTCTGTTTCCGGAGAGAAGCGACGAGGACGACCCCCGTGGTCCCCTGTCGCAGGCTATTATGGAAGCACCCATCCCCCCGGGCATGGAGAAGCCCCCACACTTAAAGGAATACGATGGAGTTGCGGACCCGGTCGACCATATAGACGGGTTCGAGGCTATGCTTCATTATCACAATGTCGGGGGGCCCCATCAAGTGCCGTCTATTCCCCACGACTCTCAAGAAGGCGGCGATGGACTGGTACAAAGGACCCGCCCCGAGCTCAATCACCTCGTGGCGAAACCTGAAGAACCAGTTCATCAGTTCCTTCACAGCTTCTCGGCGCCATTCGAAGACCGAGGCGGCTCTCGAGGCCATCATCCAAAGACAGGATGAAACCTTGAGAGAATTCATCAATCGCTTCAACCGGGAAGCCATACAGGTCCCCTGTGCGGACCATATGAAGAGATATTTGCTGGAGAGAGGGATCCTCCCCGGCACGGAATTCAGAAAGGCTGTGGGTATCGAGCCACCTCGGACATTTGATGCCCTCCTCGAAAAAGCCCGAGCATACATGGACTACGAGGAGAGGGAAGCGGCCAACAGAGCCCGAGATTCCAGGACTCGTGGTCCCAACAGCAGCTCGCGCCAAGAAGCTCCTCCTCGACGAACCGGGGAGAAAAGGAAGGAAGACAGACCCCGGGAAGTCCGGGAACAAAGAGGACCTTCGGGGCGTTTCACCGAGTACACTCCGCTCACAGCTTCCCGCGAGCGCATCCTGGCGGAGTGTGCCAGCACTGATTTCAAGGACGGCGGTGTCAAACGTCCCCGACCTGCTCCCGCCAAGCCCGGAGCAGACAAAAACAAATATTATCAGTACCATAGGAGCCATGGTCACCTGACTGAGGATTGCGTCCACCTCAAGGACGCCATTGAAACCCTCATCAAGGGAGGGAGGCTCGAGCAGTACCGGCGAAGTGACGCTCCCCGTCGTGACGCCCAAGAAACTAGAGAACTGGAGGAGGATGCCCGACCATCTGACGAGTCGGTCCCTATCCAAACTGCCTTCTCCGTGACCAGGCCCGAGGACTTCGACTTCCCCGAGCACCTGCAGGAGCCGCTTACAACGCACATCAGGTGGGAATACTTCCCCTCCGCCCTGGTCATCAACGGCGGCGGGTTCAACGACTTGACCATCAATTCAGCCAAGAGGAAGCTGGACGAGCTGGTCGACGCGACTCCCCCGCAAACAGTGACATTCGAAAGGGTGAAGGGCAGGTCAGAGCCCATCACCTTCTACCTGGAAGAACTCCCCGGCGGAGCCCCGAACGCGGTCATCCCCTTACTGATAAGGGCAAGAATGGCCAATTTTGATGTACATCGCATCCTGGTCGACGAAGGGAGTTCCGTCGACGTCATGTACAGCCAACTGTTCTGAACCCTTCAGCTGGACGACTCACATCTCTCTCCATATGTGGGTTCGGACTTAGAAGGTTTCAACGGCTCGACCTCCAAGCCTTGGGGATATGTCGAGCTTCTCGTTACGTTCGGCGAAGGGACGGCTACAAGACAAGTCAAAGTACGCTTCCTCGTCATCGACTGCCCGTCTCTGTACAACTGCATCTTGGGGAGACCGACACTGGAAGAACTGACAGCGGTGCCCTCGACCGTCCACCTGAAGATGAAGTTCTACACCAAGAGGGCACGAGTAGCTACTATCCAAGGAGACCTAGCCGATGCCCGCAGGTGCTTCAACGCTGCTTCTAAGGGACGTGATACTGTCGACATAGGGACCAGACCCGCCAAAAGGACAAGACAGGAGCCCGACAAGAAAGCATCCCCCGAGGAAGAAGTCCAGAGAGCTCCACCAAAGGTCGACTCAATAGTGCTGGACACTCGTTTCGACCAAGACGAACCTCCCAGCGGCGAGCAAGCCCCACTCCGCCCAATACCGGATGGGGACTTCGAGCTCGTCCACCTCGGCACCGACCCGACCAAGGGAGTGAAGATTGGCAAAGACCTCCCCGACCTGGCGAGGAAACAAATCAAGGCCTGCTTGCGCGAGAATGCCGATCTGTTCGCCTGGAGCGCTGCAGAGATGCCCGGACTCGACCCTGAGGTCACCTGTCACCACCTCGCCATTGATCCATCCGCTAGGGTCGTAGTACAACATAGGCGTAGGCAGTCTCCAGAAAAAACGGAGGCTGTTGAGAAAGCTGTAAAAGACCTCCTAGAGGCAAATTTTATTTCTGAAGCCCGGTACTCCACCTGGTTGTCAAATGTTGTACTCGTTAAAAAGAATAATGGAAAATGGAGGATGTGCGTTGATTATACCGATCTCAATCGGGCTTGCCCGAAAGATGCTTTTCCTTTGCCTAACATAGACATGCTGGTCGACAACTCGGCCGGCTACAAAATGTTGTCGTTCTTGGACGCCTACTCGTGATATAACCAAATCCCGATGGCCCTGGGCGACAAACACTGCACGGTATTCATGACCAGCTCGGGCAACTATTACTACAACGTAATGCCCTTCGGACTGAAAAATGTCGGGGCAACTTACCAACGCATGATGAACAAGGTTTTTCACAAACAGATAGGCAACATGCTCGAGGTGTATATGGACGACATGATCGTCAAGTCCCGAG